CCTGGGAAATCTAGAAGGCAAATGTGCATGGAGCCTTCTGTATATGTGCCTTATATACAAGTGTATGGTTAAAGGTAATTCTTTGGCTGATAAAAGAACACAAAAGAGAATGAATGACACTGGTAAAGTAAAAAAAAAAAAAAGTAAAAAGAAATCAGGAAGCAAGTAATGAGGTTACTTATAATTTTATTGTAGCATGTCCCAAATTAAAGATCAAAAGAATTTTTTTTTTTTTTTTCTTTTTTGTAGTAGAGGATGAATAAATCCAAGTTAATGAATTGCATCTCTTTTTGTAAAGTAATTTCTGCTCACAAACAAAAGGAGGTGTGCTACAAATTTCTAGCTATTCTGGCAGAGCCAGCAGACAGAAGGAGAGCTGGGAAGTAAACATTTGCATCTTCCATTGCACTTTGTGACCATTGCTGTTGGTGCTACTTCTGCTTTGGGCATTGCTGCTGCTGCTGCTGCTGCTGCTGCTGCGGGATGCTCTTCACAGGACACTTGGCTTGCCCTTTTGGGGGCTGGCATTGCTCCACACACTTTGGAGGACACTTTTCCTGGCATTTTGAAGGTATTTGCTGCTGCTGTTTCTGCTGGTGGGAAGACATCTTTGCTAAGCCTGGAAGAAAACCAAGGTGTTATTTCAGTTATTTTAAGCCCTACACACTTCTCCTTTGTGGATATTACCGTTTCGGTCAGTTCTTCAGCTTTGACATTGAACCAACAGTTGAGCAGCCTTTAAAAGTTAATCCTACCAAGCAAAAAACCACAAAACCCCTGCTTGGAAATCCCTGAGGATGCTGCTGTTCAGACCAAGTTTGTGCCAGTGACTCCAGTTTGCTGTAGCTGCCCCATATTGCTCTTCTGGGCTCCCATCACTGTTAGCCCCTGTGGGGATCAGCCACTCTCCTGAGGCCTCAGGGCATAACTGTATATAAGCATAAATGAATATAAGAGGCAAGCACCATCCTAACAAAGTTGTGATACAGACAGGTAAAAAGCTACAGAAGGAGGGAAGAGAAACAGTGAGTTTTCCTTCTTTCCCTCTGCTCACTGTTTTCTGAACATTTCAACTTTGACAAGCAAAGAAGCAATAGAAGTATTAATGAAAGCATGCTTAGTTCAAGAAGAACCTCAGAGCAGTATTTAAAACTAGTCAAAGAGCAGCAGAAAGCCAGTGATGTTTCAGTATTGCAAATGATTTTGAAAGGAAAAAAAAAATAAAAATCATTTGATAGCAATCCCTTCCAGTAACAACCACATCTCTGCTCAATTCATCAAGAGCCTCAGAGCAGGAGCCACACTAAATGCAAATGGACTGTCCTCCTGCTCAGTGATGATATGATTTTATACAGAGAAGTGAAACTCAGAGCCCTGGAGATCCAGGAGACTGCAGAGATCAGCCCATGACCGCTCAACAGATGCAAAACAAGCTGCCAGTGAATGCCATCCTTTGGTAGCTAATCCTCAATACCCAGTGGTTATCCACAAGGATTCTTATCAGTTGGGAAAAAAAAATTATGAGGGTTGACAAGGGTTTGCTGGTCCACAGAGCCAGCAAGCTACTGTCTGGAGCCTCGGAAAGTCTCAAAATAACTTAATATGGCTTTCACCTGTATGGAGGTGAAATTGCCAAGACAAGCTGAAACTGGTACTAGAAAAACAAAATAAAGAAAAATCACCCTATCTCCCAAGAACAGAGCACCAAGACCCCCATGTATATAGCTAAATGTGCACAGAGGAACTCACCTGATATCTCCTGCTGTTGGAGGAAAGGAAGAAGAAGCCACTCAGGTTAATGAGCCTCCCCAATGGAAGGCTTTTATATGCTTTCAGAAGTCAGCCCCAGGAGCTGATGACAACAGATTAACTTGATGACCAGAATCTTTCACAACCAGAACCTGCTCCACTGACACCTCCGTACACCTGGACTTCAGTCAAGGTCTGTGAGACATACCACCTCTTCCAGGCGGGGGATTTGTTGTTTTTAATGCAAGGCACACCCAATCTGGTAATAACTGGCTAATTTATTAATAATTCATCTTGTCCTGACCCTGGGCAAAGATCCCACAACTGAACTCAGATTTGAGAGATGGCTCTGATCCGCTCCAGAGTGGGGAGAACATGTTTGCATAAAGTTTAGATGTTTCCCGATAGTTTTGTCTGTGATCACCAGGACAGATCTCCGGTTGGCATAAATCTGAGCGGGGTGGGAGAGGTCTGTGTGTTGCATCCAGGCTCCTGGGAAGGGTAGTGGGTCTGTGTTTGGCAGTCTATGTTTTTGGGTTTTGCTTCTGTCCTTCTTTATTTTCCTTCCTCAAAAGGGGAATGAAACATTTTATATTGCCAAGAAATTAGAAAGCTTTCCTCTTATTTTTTCTTGCACTTTCACATAGCTTTTCAGTGTAGTAACTGAAACTTCTATTTTACAATAGGTTTGGCTTCCTGAAGTTGTGGCAGAATTTCTTTTTCTGGGGATCGATCCATGTTTCAGAAAAATGTTGAGCATCTTGAAATTTTTCCAAGGAAAGAACAGAGAAAATGTTTCCAGTGAAACATTATTTTCAGCTCTAATGGAAAAGGTAGTTCAAGCCTCCCTTGAGTATTCCTCAATGCTATGCCCTGTGGGGTTATATTCAGCCCTGTGAATTACAGCCCAGTCTCCACTACAGACATGTGATCCATGGAGAGATGATGGACATGGCTTCTGCTGGGTTTAGGAGAGCAGAAGATGCTAATGGAAACAACATCATCCCATATCTTAAGATCCCTCACTCATGCCTGATTTAGCAAGGGTCTTAATGACCCCGAGGTTGACATGGAACAAATGTCACTAATTTATTGTAAATATACAGGAGAATCTTAGCAATGCTCAGAACTAACCACAGGTGCATAGGAGAGCAATGTGTCAGGGCTTTTGCAACACGTTTTCCTACAGGCGCAGGAAGCATGATGATCACAACCCAACAGGTCTCTTCTGCCACTTCCTCTGGGGTTTTCAGAGCTGTGGGCTCCCGTCTATGATTACTGCGCCTGGTGCAATGCTCGCAGCAGGGAGAGAGAGAAGAAAAAAATTTAAATTACTAACACAGCAGATAGAGCTGGATGAAGATGCTTGGAAATCAGTCATAGGTGACTAACCTATAGGATGGATCTCATTAGTAGCTGCATATGACTTCATGACTAAGACTTTTTCCATGCCTGAAAGTGGCCACTGACAGTACACATGTGGCAGCAGCAAGAAATTATTAGCAAGGCAGAGTTCGTTGCTGAATCCCCAAAGGTTTGCATTCAGCAGTAGGAATTAGAGGTGCACATTCCTGGTCTCCCCCTCCATTTTCATGCTGTTGAATGTCTGGTCCTTCTACCCCTGCTTTGTCTATCCGAATTGAAATGTGTGCTCACGTGCAGAATTTGTTTGCCTTACCGAGACAAATGTTTTGCCTATCGTTATTCCTGTTTGATGGTGTCACCTTTTGGTGTTGACAGAAATAACACAAAAAGGAATCTACTGTCAAACTCTCTACACCTGCACACAAGGTTTCATTAAAAGCTGATTTGGTAACAGTGTTTACACACACCTAAATATAACTCTTTTCTTTTCTAGATTAGATGTTCTCCACCCTTGCCATAATGATATGGTAGGTGGATAGCAATTGTCTACATCCCAGACAGGGAAATTGTGCGGCTATCATGGAGACAGAGGTAGGCAAGTGACATCCACAGTATGGAAGACAATGGGAGCATTATCTCTGAAACTGAGCGTTTAAATGGGAATAATGTCCTTCCAGACAATGGGCCTCCTTCAGTTTCAAAATTATGACTCCAAATAAAGAAGATGCATTTATAAGTGAATTAAAATGTTATTGTACATGCCAGACACTAATGAACCCGAAATGCCAACCACTCTGCCAGTCGGGGATGTCAGTTCTCCTCATTGCAGATGGGGAACAGGTAGATAACAAGAGTGAGACGTGCCCAAAGCCACACCAAGTATCAGCAGCAAACCTGGGAACAGAACTGCAATCTTGCAGGGCTCGGACCTGTTCCTGAACCACAAAAAGATTCATCTCCTGAAGCCAAATCCTCTACTTTCTATATTTAGTCAGTGAGGATCATGGAAAGAATTCATCAAAAATACCATTTTCATCTCCATCGGAATGTTTTTAAGAAATAATTAAAATCTCAGCAAGAATGTTTCAATTCCTTCTTTCTTGGATTTGGGGCTTTCTTCCACTTAAATTTACCTTTTAACAGTTTCTAAGATTTGCCTCCAAAATCTAGAGATATAAAGATCAACATTCTATCATTAATAAAAGTGAAAATTAAATTTCTATCATTATTTTCAAGTAGGACAAAGCTGATTTTTTTTATATGTGTCAGAAAAAGTAGTGACTGGATGATGATTTTTCATGGTATTAGAAGACATGGCTCCACGTTATAATGCACGCTCTCTGTTTACAGCACTGCATTGCAGGCACAAATCCTCCACAACCATAACACCTTTTAGAAGGAAAACTAAAGGAACATGTTCTTGGGTGCAAAGGCATGGAAACGGGGAGATGAAAGAAAGACAGAAGACATATGGTGCCATCGATGGTCAATTTTTATTGCTGCACATAGACATTAAAAGACAAGAGGGCGTACATTAAAAGACAAGATGAGAATTAAAGAATAGAAGGGGAGACATCTTCCAACATCAACTGCTTACAGCACAACCGTTGCTAAATAACTACCCAAGGTGCCTAGCAGTTACCAAGAAAAATGTGCTGAGACAGCAGTAGCAGAAGTATCACAGAAAGCAAAGATAGAGGCTGGAAACATTCAGAGAAGTATTTTCCAAGACAAAGAGAGCATGGGCTAACCAGGTGGGGAGAGGTCTCAGTACATTGCAGATGGGTCTGTAACTTGTTTTTCGTTCCGTGGATGTTCATGAGCCTATGGATAATGCAATGCACTGAAGCATCAGGGTGGCATGCAAGGCTCGTGCATTAAGGCGATCAGCATTGGTGAGAGCAGACCGTGCTGCATGGCTCCAGGCACACCGTCTCGCACGAATCAACGCACTTGGTGGCACACACCTCCACGCAAGGGGGTGGGCAGGGCTCCACGCACTTGGTGCAGCACTCGGTGACGCAGGGCTCCACGCACTGGGTGGTGCACTGGGTTGCGCACTGAGTGGCACATGGCTTTATGCAGACGTCGATGCACTTAGGGGGGCAGACCTCCACGCACTGGGTGCTGCAGGGCTCCACGCATTGGGTGGTACAGGACGTGGTGCACTGGGTGGCACAAGGCTCCACACACTGGGAGGTGCAGGACGTGGTGCACTGGGTGGCGCAGGGTGTCGGGCAGACCTCGCAGGGCTTCACACAGACGCTGCCGCAGGGCTCCACGCACACCGTCTTGCAGGGCTCCACGCACTTTGTGCATTTCTGCACGCAGATGGGAGGAGGCAGGCAGGGCTGTTTGCACTGCTCGTAGCAAGACATCCTTCTGAGGTGCTGATGAAGCTACAGACAAAGATAAGAAGAGAGATACAAAATCAAGACACTTGTCCTTTCTTCTTGAGCCACAATTCACAACCTGAGCTCTTGGAACCTATATAACAGTTAGCTGTTGGACTGAGAAAAGGACTGTTAGAAAAAATTGCATGCGTGAATGATTTGTGGATTCAGACATATGCAGCTCACACTGCCCAATTATTCCTTCCTTTCTTGGGAACTTGCAAGCATCACTGTTAGGAAGACTAGAGGCATATATCCTGAATTTTATAGAATTGCCCAAACTTTGTAGAAGCCATAACATGAAAATAGTTGATTTTCTCATTTTCTTAATTAAATCAGCAGATGTTCCAGGGCCCATCTTTTGCTTATCACTTCTTCAGTTCCTCATGCACAGCACAGAGCACATCTCCCTTTGTGTAGACTTTGAGCTGCTAATGCCCAAGGGTAGAGCCCAAAGACCACAAATTCAGACACTATCCCAAATCCTCCAGCTGTATATCATGGTACATCATTGGAGTTGTATCAAAATTAATAGGCTCATCCTTTCATAAGAGAAGGGTTGGCCCAGAGTTTGCAGCTTGTATTTCCAATTCATTTCCTCATCTTGACTTCTCCCAGATATCTCCTGCAGCTTTGCCTTCAGGTGTTCTGCAGCTTCCTTCCAGATAATGCTTCTTCCCACCCATCTCTTTTGAAGTCCCAAGACTTACTCTGCAGCATCCACTAATTTATTTAATTTCCAGACTTAATGGGGTATGAAAAACTTAATGAAGATAGAATATGAAGGAGGATGAGAGACAGTCACAGTTTATGAAGAGGTGACAGGACATTTGCAAGCTACTTAAGGAAGAGGAAACTCTAGATAAGAGTCAAACATCCTCTCCCCCCATTCCAGGACAAATCCTGGAACAGAAACACCAGAAGCAAAGCTCTCCTATGATCAGTAATATATTCTCTTGACCAGAACAACCAAGTAACACAGCCATCGCATTATTCCCTGATAAATCCAAGAAAGACTTACCAGTTCACCAATGCAAGTGAGCGAGGGAGAAGTCAAATGAACTGGTGTGAGCATCAAAATGCAAACCTTTTTATATGGCTTGCATGGCGTCATCTCCGGAAACAAGGGAGCCCAGGGGTATGGACACCTGACCACTAACTACCTGAACAGGCTCCACCTATACATGCTTTACATATTTGTTTACATCCTAATTTTTGATGGAAACTCTCTTCCAGGAAAAACATGTGATCCTGAGCAAATTCTGCTTCCACCTAACACTCAAGTCATGTGGTTCCCAACGGGAATGACATAGTAATTAAAGAAAAACAGGTGTTGAATTAATTGCTTTTCAAAGAAGATTTAATATGCTTGAGTATTTTCATCTCCTTATTCCTTAAATGTCTGAATGATACCTTAGGTTTTTTTCAATGCAATAAGAATGGATAGCTATTATTAGGGAAGATGGACAATTGATCTGATTTACTATGAGAAATATCATGTCCTAATTCTCATGGTAAGAAAGAGCTAATCCTACAGTATGCCATCAGCACTTCTGTTTCTCTAATACCTTTTTAACCATTAAATACACCCAATCCATTCCTCTCCGCCCTCTATTAATATCATTCATGCTTGGCAATGCCAATGGGGACACAACTCCAGTTACCCTGAGGACCTCTTCAAGCCATTCAGGGCAAAGTAAAGGGGCACTCATTTGAAAGGCATTTTTTTTACTGCCAGAGCAGTGTAAAGGGCTTCAGTGTAAGTGGGATTTAGGCCCAGGACTCCATACTAGCATATTGAACCTTTTGTTGATCATGATATCTCACTTAGCTCCGCAGCAGAGAAAATCTTTATTTCTCTGAGATATTCCAATCACGGAGGTGGAATGTAATCATCAGACTACATTTAGGTGACCAAATTCCCCAATGAGATCACTTATACAAATGCTAAATGGGGGGGGGGG